TCAGCTGAGAGTTTAGCATCAAGACTACTTGGAGATAACCAGAGAAGAGCAAATGAAGTTAAATGATTGCAATTACATTCGTATCGGATGAAATTCGAATTATATTTGGGTTTAGTGCAACCTGTATCGTTCCATGACCTGGTTTTGTTATCGTAATATACACAAAGAAAGTTATCCTCAGAAATATTTTTCACCTTGGTAGCTTGATTCCGAAAATATAATGAAATATTCATTCGTCCAGATGTATGTGTTGTGTTCGATAGGCTTGCAACAATAACTGATGAAACAAGTACACCATTCATTGAAGTGTTCACATAACGATAATTCTTGGGATCGCCAATCAAAAATAACTTGAGATACCTAACATCAATCAAAGTGTCAACTTGAATAACAGCTGCAGCTGAAAAGGTGTTGTTCAGTCTTTCATCAACAGTCGAATTTGTTATATTACCACTACCATGTTCTGTTGAAAACCAAGCACCAATGACAGCATCCTCTCCTTTCTTCAATGGTGTTGATATTAAAAATGATGTATTCGCAAAAACAATAGCATCACCGTTAAGACATCCAACTTTTTCATCGATTTCCTCGGGTGACAAATAGTCAATTAGATTTGACGATAAATTCGAATGGGCAATTGCTGCCGAGTACACTGTAAGATAATATGCTAAGGCAGACGCGTTCAGACAGCTGCCATTCGATCGAATTGCTTGAAAAGCTTCGTTCTAAAATAATTGCAACAATGAAAGAGAATTGGGCAAACTTTTATGTCGTACTTGCACTTCGTCGATTGGCTTACATGAGCCGTTCACTGGTAATAAGGAACTATTATTACAAGAGCTTGAATTATAATAAATTGGTGAAGGGGTAGTAGTAGTTGTTGTTGAGGGGACACTAGTAGTAGTTGTTGTTGAGGGAACAGTAGTAATAGTTGCTGTTGAGGAGACCGTAGTAGTAGTTGTTGTTGAGGAGACCGTAGTAGTAGTTGTTGTTGAGGAGACCGTAGTAGTAGTTGTTGTTCTTGAAGAAACAACATAAGGAAAGGAAGTGATCACCCTTGTTTCGGTTGGTATTGAAGCTACAGAGATAACACAAATAATTCAAGTAAAAAGGTTCATTCTTTTTGAATCGATTTTATCAACTCATTTTTTCACCTGAGAACGACGAAAATTCAATCGTAGGTGTAGACCAGTAAATACAAAAGCATTCATAGCGATCAAATATATTATTGCGTATCGGTGAACTGCAGTTGGAGTGAGTCCAATTTGAAGTATTTATATCATAGTATGCGCAAGTAAACTGGCCAGTACTATCGTTTGATACATCGTCAGATTGGAAATATAATGAAACATTCATCAAATTGGATAAAGAATGATTTTGTTCCACATCAGCGACAATTACTGATGAAACAGCTCTCTTGTCCATGAAATCAGTGGAATTTTGACGAGCAAAAGGCTTGTTTATCACTAATATCTTCAACTTACTAGCATCAATTAACGAATCAGGATGGAAAATAGCAGCAGATGAAAACCTTGAATTAATAGCAACAGACTTATTAGAGTTGAAAATAGTTTGACTTGGAGAATTCTGTTGAAATGAAGCGCCTATCACTGTATCATTGCTTTCATTTATGGAGTGCACTACTATATGTGATTCCGGAGAGAAAACTACGATACGATCGTTAAGACGACGAACAATAGCCTCTACTTCATCGGGCGTTAAGATTTTGAATTCATTTAAAATTGTCGCACAATCCATGATTGACGCATAATATACTGTTAACCGCAAAGCCAAATCCGTGCCATTTAGGATTGTTCCATTTCTCACTTCATCCACTGCTAAAATCTATAATGGAAATCAATCTTCAGAGAAAGAGATCTATCATATGACCTACTTGTGCATCATTTCGAAACATACAACTACAATTAATCCATGGGACCAATGTTACATTATTACAATACGTCGCATCATAAGACAGAATATTTGCCCACCTCGACAAACAACTACTTCTGGGTGGTGCCATTGTAGTTATCGTTTCAAGTGTAATATATGTACTGGGCTCGACTGTTGTTTCTATTGATGTTGGTAAAATGGTGACCGAAGGTAGGTTGGTTGTTTGAAGTGTAATATATGTCGTAGGTTCAACTGTCGTTTCCATTGATGTTGGCCAAATAGTGGTAGAAGGTGGGTTGGAGGTGTCATGGGTAACATAGGTACTGGGCAAGACTGTTATTTCTGTTGATGTTGGTGAAATGCTGGTAGAAGGCAGGTTGGTTGCTACATGTGTAATATATGTGGTAGGTTCAACTGTTGTTTCTATTGATGTTGGTGGAATGCTGGTAGAAGATACCTCGGTGGTGTCATAAGTAGCATATGTAGTAGATTCAAATGTTGTTTCTGATGATGTTGGTGGAATGCTGGTAGAAGGCAGGTCGGTTGTTCCGTGTGTAATATATATAGTAGGTTCAACTGTTGTTCCTAATGATGTTGGTAAAATGGTGGTAGAAGGTAGGTTGGTGGTGTCATGTGTAATGTATGTCGTGGGCTCGACTGTTGTTTCTATTGATGTTGGTGAAATGCTGGTAGAAGATAGCTCGGTGGTGTCATAAGTAACATATGTAGTAGATTCAACTGTTGTTTCTGATGATGTTGGTGGAATGCTGGTAGAAGGCAGGTCGGTTGTTCCGTGTGTAATATATGTAGTAGGTTCAACTGTTGTTTCTATTGATGTTGGTGGAATGGTGGTAGAAGGTAGGTTGGTTGTTCCGTGTGTAATATATGTAGTAGGTTCGACTGTT